ATGCAATTAAGAGTCAGCTGGAAATGCAACAAGCAACAGCCATAAAAACTAAGCAAACATGTATGAGGAGGATGGCTTTGTTTGTTAGCGTGTTTAGTTATGAGCACACACGGTTTAAAAGGCCAAAGAATTAATAATCTGGGGTGGATAAATCTTGGGAAGCAGATTAAAGTGATTATAAGGCTGCAATATAAACATGGCATTAGCCCTTAAATACAAGCCTTAGGGTCTGTGTCATCAGTTCATGGAAGACACTACCTCAGCGCTAATGACAGTGCCGTGTGTGTGTGTGTGTGTGTGTGTGCACTTTACACTCAACTAAATGGAAGGAGGGAGTTTGAAAAGGCATACTTAGAAGAAATATATGAGGGGTTTAGACGACTAAAATATACTAAGATTGACATCACTGCATAACACAGGGATAAATTATAAACAATATACCAAATGACAGTGGGACAGTGTGTATTCTGCTAGTGTGTGTGTGTTATATATGTCTCACTAATTACCTCCTGTCTTTGCTATCTTATGAGAAAATCAGTAGCTACCAGCTGCAGTGCTACTCTAAAGCTTCTCTGAACTCGAGTGTGTGTGGCGGAGGGACAGGGGTTATCACTCAATTTGCATTTTTGACTACAGACCCAGATAACTTCACAAGACAGAGGAAAACACCCGGAGTTAGGCTTAAAAACTTACCACTTCCTCCTCCCCGGGTCAACGTTGTGACATCTCACCATCTGATAACAATCATTGCTACCATGTTACATAATCTTGTTCACAGTCTTTCTTTGTAAAACCCAGCAAGGCTTTTCTCTTTAATGATCAAAAAGAGATAAACAGGACGTTAACATCCGTATGAGTAATTTCTACAGGCTAATTAGACAGTCTTAGGAAGGATGTTCTGTCACTCCTGCCTCATTTTCATTTCCTCTTTTTGCCCGAAGCCCTAAATTAGCTTATTTTCAACAAACACTGGACATCTGATGTATTTTTGTTTGAACAGATGTGAAGAATACGGTATATGTGAAATGTACAAAACAAACACTACGGCATTACAGACAGAATTAATCCGCAATTCTCCTATTTGTAAGACTTTCTGCCAGTATAAATGAGTGAACATAGAGCACACAGAATTCCTAGAATTCCTAACTGACCCTGTGATGCCTTAATGAAATAGTAGAACTGGACTGAAGGAAACCGCTTCTCGGGACGTGGTTAAACAGCCCACCCTAAGAGATTTCTCGTCCTTGGAAAACATCAGCCAGAAACACGTCTGTGTCCAGCTGTTTCGAAAAAATGTGTTCTGCTGTGCATGCGTGTGTGTGTGTCTGTGAGCATGCGTGCGTGCATGCGTGTATACAATGTATGTGAAAAATAAATATAGGGGAAAGGCACATGGGCAAAAAAGCACAAAAACACACAGAGAGAGAGAAGAAGAATCAGCATGACTCCTAATTCACTCCTAAAAATTCACACTTTCTGATGAAAAAACAAGTCTATTGTAGTTTAAAGGGGAAAAAACCCACCATCTTTATACTTAACACGTGATCTTCAGTGCCATCCAAGATATACACTATATGGCCAAAAGTTTGTGGACACCTGACCATAACAATCATATGTGCTTTTGGAACATCCCCTTCCAGAGTTAGTCCCTTTTGCTGTTATAATAAGCTCCACTCTTCCGGGAAGGCTTTCCACTAGATTTTGGAACATGGCTGTGGGGATTTGTGCTCATTCAGCCACAAAAGCATTAGTGAAGTCAGGCACAGATGTTGAGTGAGGAGGCCTGGTGCGTAGTTTGAGTTCTAGTTCATCCCAAAGGTGTTCAGTGGAGTTGAGGTCAGGGCTCTGTGCAGGACACCCGAGTTCTTCTACTCCAATCTTGGCAAACCAAGAACCAAACTTCATGAATCTCGCTTTGTGCACAGGGGCATTGTCATGCTGGAACAGGTTTGGGCGTCTTAGTTCCAGTGAAGGGAAATTGTAATGCTACAGCATATAAAGACATTCTATAAAGTTGTGTGCTTCCAACTTTGTGGTAAAGTTTGGAGAAGACACATATGGGTGTGATGGGTGTGACAGTTTAGGGAAGACACATATAGGTGTGATGGTCAGGTGTCCACAAACTTTTGGCCATATAGTGTATTTTGGAATAAAATTCTGAATTGCCTTTTTTAGTTGGTCTGTTGGTCTGTTTTCACTTTGGCTAACAGTTACATGTCATGCGACAGAGTTGGAGATGGAGGCAACTGCAGTTTAGAATTTTATTAACACTGGCAAACAAATCCAAAATGTGCAGCAAACAGTGAACAGGAACAGGCAAGATGTCAGGCAATCATCAGAGAGTAATACAAGGGCAAATCCAAACCAGGAAGCAAGGTGAGATCAAACACCAGAGTAGCAATCACTGAAACAAAAGCTTGGTAAGTCAGGTAAGAGTACACTGAGCATTACTTTGCAAAGAGTCACTGAGAGTCTGTGTATATATAGGGTGAGTGTATAATTGGAAGCAGGTGTGTATGATCAGTACTCAGGTGAACGTGAACGTGCCGGTGGAGTGAGGTGTTGGGGATTGTAGTCCGCGGCGGCCATGTTTGTAGACCATGGTGTATTCTGGGAAGTGGAGTTTCTGGTGGATTCCTGCATTGGCGTGACATTTCCTACATTACGCCATTTGGCTACCTGATGAAAGTGGACTGAGGGGACTGAAGGGACTGAGCCCTTGCTTCATTTCTACCTGTGATACAGAGTGATGAGTGCGATGCAGCAGCTTTTTAGTCTTTTAGTCTGTCCAGCTCTCTTAGCTCATCATCTGTACCCTGTGCACAAACAGATCAGCTTCCAAAACTTCTACACTTTTCCTACTAACACTGCCATCAACACCAGAGCGCTCATCATCTCAAAGATCACTAACTAGCTAAGCTGAGTCTCTGCCATAAATCAGCACTACTGCACTATATAGCTAGGTCACATTCTGGAACTTCCATGTTGAATTTCTCGTTAATATGAAGTTGGGTAATAGTCAGTGAGATAAGTGAAATGCTCTTGCTCTTGCAAAACTTGACCATTATGTTTAAATGTTTCCTCTTGTTAAACACCATTGTAACCGCGCCAGCAATAACAAAGTCCCCCTGTAATGCGAGAGCAGCAGGCAACAGCAAACTTTTCACAGGAATAATGAAAACACAGCACCAATAAACTAATTAGCACCGGAATCACGAAGCACATCATAAATTTTACTATCAAAAATATTCAGTGCGCTTCAGGGTGGACTTTTCCTTTAAGTATGCTACTTGACAAGTAAGGACAAGGCAATCTTATAAATAAGGAATGACGCAGTCATGGGACAGTATTCCAGTGTAATCATTGCTCCAGGAAGTCATGAATATTATGGTAAGGCAGTATAGATAGTATAGCTGTCAAAACAACACCAGCAACAATAGGTAATACATGTTATTTAATTCCCCCTCTTTGAAAATGTGAAGTTACATACAGATACCATAATCTACTGAATAGTACAGATAATGTAACATGAATTTTTCACCCCAGACGTTTCCTTGCGTTTCCCTTTGAGCAATACCAAACTTCCAAAATATAAGGTGTTCATTAAAGAACAAAACAGCCATAAAATGATGATCAACTACTTAAAGCAGGGATGAAATTCCTATACACTCAACACCACCTTATTCATTAGCTAGATGTCGGACCTTTCTTTATGAATAAGCGACAAGCCACACACTGATGTATCCAGATACAGAGTATAAATCATGAAGTATAAATCATTCTTCATGAAGGAATTTTGCCTTCGACAGTAAATTTTCCAAATAAAGCCATGACCACATCATAAACTTAATTACAAGCACAAAGCAAGCTAAGCACTTTTCTCGCAGACTTACAGTACAGTACAGATCACGCAGGTGCGTTCCAGAGAGCAAGGGCCCTTCTCTACGTCCTTTTCCTCTATAGTCATGCATTTGAACAATGGTACAATGAAAGAAATGAAGAAAAGTGTGTGTGGGCTTGGCACATCACATTAAACTTGTCAATGGCTATTATCTACGCTCCAGTTACAGTTAGCAATTACAGATGACCGCCTACAATTTTAGCCTGGGCTGGGCAGTGTTTCTGATACATATATTTGAAATATGTGCTTCAAATACAAATATATCATGGTCATAGAAGAAGAATTGGTATGAAAATGCTTTTGTATTACAGAAATACAGGAAATAATTTATTCCGGTGAGGGTTTTGAGTCATGCCAGAGCTGGGTTATGTCTAGAAATTGTCTGCAGCACCAAAAAGAGCTCATGAACAGCACAGAAACTTCTAGAAACAGTCAGGGAGGAAATGCAGAGGTATCAATGCGTTAGCTAACTTGTTGCATGTTGCAAAAAACTGTTATTATATAAGTGTTATTACTGATGTTTAAATTAAAAAGTAATCGTTAAAAATGTTTAAAAGATTGGTAATATCCTATGATCCTATAATTATAATATGATCCTATAAATGCTAAGTCAGGACTCGGAACGACGTCACTCGAGGTACAAAGTACTGTAGGAAAAAAACATGGACGCCACCATGTTTGTCTTTTGTTAGCAACGAACTAGCCAGCTAACTCTGATGAGTGAAGTATATAACAGCGAACTGTACAGTCAGTGTTATAGATTTAACAAGCAAATATGTTTGTTGATTAATCTAAATCAAAATGAATGTTGATTAATCTAAATCAAATACCTGTGTATACACTATAACTCATTTAAAGGTAAGAAGCACTACTTTGTTTACTAATGATGCTGTGCGTAGCCATGTTGATTATTAGTAATATTCAAAAAGAAACAGAATAATGGATTGAACCTTCCTAATTTAGTGGTTACCACCAGTATGTTTTCTGAAGGATAGTTAGTGTTAGTGTTAGCTATCATCCAGCAGAATTCTAAAATTAGCTTTAACAACTTAACTGACATTATATTTAGGTGCAGTATTGTAGTGTATTCTTCTGAGGGTCCCTGGAGGACTAGTGGTTAGGCCACAGCGCTCTCACCGGTGCAGCCCGAGCTCGATTCCCGGCCAGGGAACCAACCCCAGCCACTGGGGTTGCATGCAACAGTGTGCTCTCAGTCCCGGTCCCAAGCCCACATAAAATTGGGGAGGGTTGCTTCATGTAGGGCATCCGGTGTACAAACTGTGCCAAATCAAATACGCGGACCAATGATCCACCGTGGTGACCTCTAACTGGAGCAGCCGAAAGAGGAACATCATTGTAGTTTATTTTGGCACTTTAACATTTTGGTTCTTTTGTATTAAATATCAAAAAACTTGATCATGTATTTTACACATACCCTACTATAGTTGCCATTACTGGTTAACCTCCATGTTATTTGTCTATCACAGTCACAGTAGACTAATCACCGATAAAGGATCCTGTTCAACACAGGTGAGTTCAGTGAACTGGCCACACAGGTTTCTTTAGCATTAGACCACCTGCGTCCAGATAACGCTGACCCCATGTTGACCTTATTCATGCTTGGACACTTGAGCTAATGTATTGCGTTTCTGCATTCGGATGGGTTTGTTGAGGATGTGTGTTATATTTTGACTGCATTGTTCTAAAACAGTGTTAATCAACGTAGCATTCATGTTAGGTCACGCTCAAAACTGATGTACACTTACAATACAGATAATGCCTCGAGCACCAAGACTACACCACATGAGCCATCAAGAATAATGACTATGACGAAGTCTTGATTGTAATGAATACTAGACAAGAATTCTAGCGTTTACTTTCAAAAGCTAACGTTGAGTCTCATTGTAAAACTATCCTTTGTGATGACAGCATACAACCGTTTTAATATGCTTTTGCTTATACTGCTTAATTATAATAATCTTTATAACCCAACACTAATTTAACGATGACTGATTGTACCAGCGCTCAATGAAATTTGCTTGGCTGGTATATGAGGCTGGAGTCTGAAGGTTAGTATTGACAAGTCATCTATCTCTGATCTCTGATGGGGAGACAGAACGAATGAAAATAATCATTTTTTTTTCCACCTCAGCATCCATAAACCTGATCAGTCAATGATGAATTTTACGTTAGTGACCAGGGTCTCTTTCTGGCGATCAATAGTCTGAATCTACAAGGACATACTCAAAAATTTGAACACAATACAAATACAGTCGAAACAGTCTGTATGATAGAATTGCAGGATTAATAATAAAGCGTAAAAGAAGCCAGCTAACAAGTATGCTTGAAAGTAATAAATAAATCATTTGAAATATATTTTGACCAAATTTACATAGACTGAGGATACTGCTCATAAGTTATTTGGCCACCATAATGATATATCTGAAGTATATTATTTTGTGAGAACCAACCTAAACCAAACCATTGTTAGGGCCTGATGCATTCTAATGGCTTTTCAGCAATCCATTTCACCAGCAGATTCATACATCACTGTTGATTTTACATCAGTTTATGTCGATACTTCACCCGGAATTGACATGCTATTCTTTCTAGTGCTTACCCATGAAGAATATTCATCGCATGCTTGTATCAGCACTTACGACATTTCAGTCACCTCGCGTATTGTAATACGATGAGCCATCATTTGGTGTGAAGGATAGTTAACTAATGATGTGTCAAAACATTGATCTCTTGGTTTGACTGTAGGTTTTTCTCCCCACTGAAAATCTATATTCATCAATCAGCATTGAATCATGTCACCTTCCATAACAACTAATCTACAATCATGATGAGAAAATAGAAATGTAATATTGGGAGTGCTGTGTAAATATATGTAAATAGCTACAATCCTGAATTGGTGAAAACTCTTTATAAACGCTGCTTATGAATAGCCGTGTCGTAAAATGGAACATGGGAATGAACATTGTCTGGGGCAGGGAAATCAGTGCATTAATACGCATGTGTGTAAATATGTATAATTAATATGTATAATGTGTGTGAATATGTATAATTAATATGTATAATCTACCTGCACAGCAGGTAGAAATGATGATCTAACAGGTAGAACATGTAGAAAATGACAAAAAAGAAGCAATGACATCAATCATTTCTGATTTTTAAATTAGTTAAACATGTCTTCTCGTTTGTTTAATGTTTTTGTCCATTCCTGACCAGTGCAATAAGATAAACTTTAACAAAAGCTTAAGCTTTTCAAACTTGCCAAGTTTGAAACTTGCCACATCGTGTCAAATATCCCTAAAAAATTAGTTTCCTGATATATACAGTATACTGTATGTAAAGTTATCTGTCATTATGGTATACATGTCAATTTCCATTATAAACTTTATAAACTGCACTAACTACAGTGGAAACTCTGGAAAGTTTTATGTAGATTCAGAACCAAAAAAGATCTGAAATGAAATGAAAATGTTGATAATTGTAAAAATTTTGTTTTTGATTTTATACTGAAAAATACATACAATTTTATAACAGTGAATGGAATCTTATTGATTAAACAATAAAAAATATTTTCCAACAAACATTTCTATTAAAAAAATTCTTTCTCTGATGTGTATCTTCCTAGTGATTTTTTTGATTTCATTAAGTATAAAAATACTTATATATCAGTATATCAGTATATCAGAATATCAGTAATTAATTTGCACGGTTTTCGGTGATATCTGTTGTTTTAAAAAATTACCCTGTTCACTTGTAGTGTGTTACCCTAATTAAGTGAAAAAGTTGTAATGTTTTATATATTTTTATATTTGAAATGTTGTAGACTAATATTTCAAATACAATTTCAGCTGAATGAACAGAACAGGACACATCAAACTCAAACTGTATTTATTTACAGCAACGCAGCTTACAGCATTGTAAACAGTATCAACATCTGATACAGGCTACAGCACTGAGCATCTCGCAGGTTAATTACCTCCCGCCAGACAACAGCGTAATAAAGTCAGGTAGGGAGGGATCCATGAGCAGCTGAAGCTCACATGGAATCGATTTGGAGATAACATTCACACCAGCTGGGAATTTATGGAGTTGTGAAAACATAAAGTAGTTTTACTGCCATGGTTCAAGAGCACCACAGTCACATTGACAGAAACTAATCTGGAAGTATCTTGTGACAAATACAGCCATTTGCTTCTTTTACTGTAAAGGTAGACTTGCAATATGTGATAATGTGTGAAAAAAAATGGGCGTTTAATTCCAAACACACACACACACACAAACAAACACAGCAACTACTTCCTTTATCCCTTTAGACTTTCATCAGCTTTAGCCCCAGTTTCCAGCTGGAAAACTCAACACCTGACTTGTCCCTAAACACTCGTCCATACACACTCACACACACACACATATACACAATCTCATTGGTGTTGACAGGTCTGGCATCTGGTTATGGTCCCCACACAAGCAGTGATGACATACTGTATGTGTGTGTGTGTGTGTGTGTGTATGTGAGGCACTCTTACACAAGGTCATTCTACCAGAAAGAAAAATATACAAGCCATTTTCCACAATTCCAAACTCTGTTCACGAACACGACTAAATAATATTCGCAGGACAGTCTGAATATTCATATCCCTATCAATCCAGGTGTATGTCAGTCTTGTTCCTTCGAGACACTGCTAGCAAGAGAGAGAGAGAGAGAGAGGTCAATAAACAGTCTTTTTATTGGCAGCAGACTGAATGTCTTGCCAATGAGAGAGTGCTCTAAGCTGTGGATGTTATTGGCAAGTGATATTAATGAACTGACCAGAGTGACAAGGGACAAAGATCAATGACGCACAAACACTGAACACACACCTAACTGGGATCATCCAGAACAAAGGTAAGAATGAAGAAATAAAGCCATCTAGATTAACTTGCTTAAGAATAAATGTGTGATTCTGTTTTGTTTTTTGGGGGGTTTTTTTGTGCTGTACACTTGAGTGGAAATGTCCATACAGAGCATCTCCTTATACTGAAGCCAGAACCAAACATTTACCAAAGAACAATTTAACTACAGAGAAACTTCCCCCATTTTTTAAGTCATTTAGTTCCATATTTTCTTTCCTGACTACCTGTACACTGTAACAGAGTGGATATTAAAACCACCGTCTACATACATAAAACATCTAACACCACATAAATTATGATTACTTCCAAAACTGCAATAAATTCTGATTACTTCCAAGAAAGCATCATTTTGCCTGGAAGAGCTAAAGCAGAGTCCCGGTCTACACTACAGTTGTCTCCTTGTCAAGTTGGTGTACTAGATCAGTGTTCACTAACCCTGTTCCTGTAGACCTACTTTCCTAAAGAGATCAATCCCATTCTAACACAACAGACCGAAATAATCAGTAGCCTATACCTCATTACCCAGATCAGGACTGTTGGATTAGAAATGAATTCGGTGTTAGATTACGCTGTAAGACCAGATATACACAAAGCGGTCATTCTCTCTAGCCTACAGTATTCATTTGTGCTGGGAAATAGTCATAAGCAAGCATCAGAGCAGATGGGAAATGAGGAAACAAAGCAAAAACAACTAGACAAAGTGCACACTACAAAAAAAACACCACTGTTTAATCAACACCATCATAAACAAGCGATATACATACTAATAGCCTTACTATGTATGCAAAACTACTTTATACCACCTCGCTTTTAAATTCTTGAATCTGATTGGTTGCCAGGTAAATCACATTATATTATTATATTAATGCACTCCTTTTAATACATTAGCGTTTCTATAGTAACGGCTAATTCACAGGGACCTGCATGGCAGATGCTCCATATAATCTAAAACAAATGATAAAGAAATTTAAAAGTAGCTATTAACAAAAAAATTTATAATCTTTAATATAGTGAGGTTTCTGCAAGGGGACTATTTAACATTCAAGGAAGGAGTCTCCAGTGTCAGTGTCAGTTTGATGCCATGGGAAAGTCTTCAGGACAGAGGACTTTGCACTTTCTGATTTCTTGGTAACATGACAATCTGCATTTTTTTTCTCTTATCATCTCTAAGCAAGAGAAAAAAGAGGCTAGTGAGGGAATGGCTGTTTACAGCTGTTATAAAATAAGTGATAACAGGAACTAACTTGTTTTGCGGACTTCCCA